GATTGCCCACACAGTGACTGGACAATTAGAATATTTTCTCTAATGAAATATAATTATGTGTGCTATACAGTTTAATAGCATCTTGTGATGTAGACCTAATTTTGGATAGATTTTCAGTTTTAGCACACTGAACTATAACATATTTTATATTCCTATAATGTTTAAAGTTATTTTGAATAGAGAAAAAAAACCCTGATGTGTGGTAGATGGATTAAAACTGATTTTTTTTAAATGGTAAAAGTTGTATCTCAATATAAACTAAGGAGGACTTATGAAATTTCTGGAGAAACAATCATAGTAGCTATGTCCTGTTATTGGACTTAACATGTGATTGTTTACCCTCCATCCCTTTAATGAAAATGCTTATGAAAGGTAGGGGGCAGAGTCTTTGCTAATTTCTTAATGCATTAAGTAAATGTTTACTGGGCACTAACTCTGTACTTGGCCCTGGACCAACCATCCTCAGCATTCAAAATTATCTTTAGTAATGGTGACGGGAAAGGAAAAGGTTTGAAGGTTATAAATATAAGTGTGGTATTTTTCTTATGATATTTTCTTTAAAAGATATAGACAATCACATCTATACATTTCTACCTACAAGGACAACTTTTTTTAAAAAAAAGATATTTTGAGTGATGTTTATGATAGGGACTAGTACATGACATTTAAAACTCAAGAAATAAAAGCTTGGGACATGATAGAAGAGGAAACAGTGTTGGTACCGGTGTTATTTTGTGAAGTGGCAATGGAGATTTAGTCTGCAGCAACATATGGGAGAGGAAACTAAATGGCATCCCTTGAACTCATTTCTTTCCTGACCTTTTGAAGTTCCCAGGTTCAGCTAATTTTCTGCCCATGGTTGCATCTGAAGTGGGTTCCAGAGATAGGAACAGTTCTGCACAAACAGACTGTGAAGCTCAACTTTCCAGGAGAATGTGAGGAGATGGTACTAACATTCCCTGGGATAATTAAGCCTTGCTCAATCAGAAGATAGCCTTTGCCCATCAAAGGCAAAGTACCGTTCCAGTGCAAAATTACACAGAAGATTCTAGGTGAAATCCCCACAGTGTCATACGTGCCCCACAGACAATGTTGCTTAAAAGGCTGATCATTATACACATTTGAAAAACCAGTTGTACAAATCACACAACTTAAAGGCAGAGGAAACGATAAGGCTAACATGATTATGTTCCTCTGCTCAAACCTATTCATCAGTTAATTATCTCAGTATGTTTTGATAAGCTATCTGGCCATGAGTTGTGTATGTATATGTATGTTCGTGACTAACACATGAGAGAAAACTGTAAGGGTGTACCTTAGTTTGTGACAGCAGCCTGCAGTCGACATATAATACCCCCAAGTAAGGAGCTTTTCCTTGAAATAATGGGCAACGTTGGTCCCATTTCATCCCTGAATGTCAACAGTGCTGAACACGAAATGCAAAAAGAAAACTCTAATGTCTTTCTTTGCTCCTCTGAATCACTTTGTAATAAATATAAAGTAATGGAAATAAGTACTAGCAGCACCTCTGGGCAGTGTTTTTAAAGAGAGTCTGGTGATTTTAGGCTGCACCTACGATGAAAAGGCTGCCCTGATTGTGCTTGTCTCTTCACTTGTCAGACACAAAACCTCACTTATAGGCCAGAAAACTGGTAAGAAGTACAAACTGAATGCCAGTTTAACTTACAGACTGCTTGTGGCTTTGCATAGAAATTGTGTTCAAACTGGGATGTCGAAAAAGCCATGATAAACCCATCTTTGAGCAGAATAATACTTTTTTGGGGGAAAATTAATTTATTTCTTTTAGCAAGGTCTTCTGAGCAGTCATTGAAGTGTGGACTCTACCTTCTGACATATGTGTGTTCTTTTTCCTTCTCCGATAAACAATGAAAGAAACTTGAAACAGATCCCAAAGTCACAGCTTCTTGATCAGAACTATTGTATCCTCCTTCTTTGGAGTCTCCTTGATTTCTTCCAACTGTCTGATCCTCTAGGCTAACAAAGAGCTATGGACCTTAAACATCTACCTATTTTCCTAGAACTATTATGAGATGAGCATTTTCCTAGACTAGTCTTTACAAATACTTTCTCAGAGAGGTCTCTCATCCTACTGAGCAGTCTAACAGTACTTTCCTCTTTTTGGAGTTTTGACATGGTTGATGCTACATGGTTCTGCATGGTCCCTGTATGTGATACTAAATGCCACACTAAGAAGCTGCAGATGAATGATGTTTTAATCACTGGGCTGTAAAACACTTGATACCAGTGTACAGACATCTTTACTTTTACAGTTGATATGCATGCAGCAGGTAAGGCGAGGGCTACTCTAAAATGGTGTGCCCTTTAGCCAGATTCAAACAGCATCAAGACCTTAAGAAAGGTACCCTGAACACCAGAAGTTCAGTCAAGAAGTGCTACAGTTTGTAGTGCAGAGTTATACCCCTTCGGGGGCTGGAGGGCTTCCGGAGACGATAAATGATAAAACAAAATTAGTTTTTAATAACCATAACCATTAGAAATTTTTAAAAATCAGGGCATTTTAAAAGTTTGATACACAGAATTATCGCACAGGTCTCAGTGCAGTAACTGTCCTTAACTAGTACCTGACCCATTTGTGATGGTGAGAACTTGACTTTTGCTCTCACACCACAATCTTTAGGGCAAAATGAGAAATATGGGCTGTCTGCAGCAGTCCTGAATGAAGCCATCCTGGAGGTGGCAGAAAGGATCCTCTATTTATTTTCACAAGGAATTTTCCTCAACTAGTCACCCTCTTCTGAGGCCAGAGGGGAAAAGAAAGAAAAAGAAATACACACACACACACACACACACACACACACACACACACACACACACACACGGTTTAAAAGTCCATGGGACTCTTGCAGGAAAAAAAAAATGACAGTCTGACAAGGAGTTTTTCAATCCGCTAAAGCTGACTTGGGGAAATTTGCTGTCCCTTTATTGTTTAAGAGAGCTGGTCCTAGAATTTCAACCATAGAGGGAGGTGGGTAAACCTATGTGCACATCGCTATTACGAAGAGCTCTCTTTGATAGAGGAAAAAATATAACCCTCACAAAACAACCTTCAAAGGTGCAAGTCTCTCTAGTAGAAGACACATCCCCACCTCAGCACACATACACACACAAACACATTCACAAACACACACATTACAGACAAAATCTCTGCCAAACCGGCCACCGATGAAAGGCGGTAGCTAGGAGAAATTTCAGTAGTGTTTAGCAGGAACGACAGGGCTCATTTTGCATGCAGTGAAGTACAGCAGCGAGAGTGAATGGATGGAAAATCCCACTTTCAAATCTTACATAAATATCTCTTTCTCACATATAGTTTTCCAGTTGAAATGCTCATATAATGAAGGCAGAGGTGACAGCCTAGCTAGAGCTTTTAAGCATCCAGATGGCTGTCAGACTGTTATAAAGAGGAGGGAATGTCAAACCAGCACCAGCCAACCCCAGTTTCTCTATCTGCTTGGCGATAGTCCCTGATGCGAGAGGCCACCGCTCTTGCATACTGTCTCAGACGTCCGCTCATTCCCACACTGTGAAGAGTGTTAACAGAAAATAGCTGCTGATCTGGTTAGCAGCTTCCATGAGCAAAGGGATTGTTGGGATCGTGCCCCCTAAGGAGGAAACTGCCTGCAACCCTCAGAAACCAGGGCAAAGTTGAAAGGACTTCTTCTCCCTCCCGGTTGCTTGGTTATAAGCTCTGCCCTTTAATTGGAGCTCAAGTGAGCAGCTGCCAGCCTGATTTTCCATTACGGACTAATGTTGTGCGTTTGCAACAATAAACAATTAATGTTGTTTGATTTCTTACGTTTAGCAGCAATCCAAGCTAACAGCTGCCATCTCCGCTCAGAGGCTAACAGGCTAGTCATTGATGTGTCTCAGGTTCTATGCCTTTGGGCAAGGGGCCACCAGCACAAAACTTTGAGATTTTTACAAGATTGGGCGAGGAGAGGCTTTATTCTTGGGAAGGAAAAAAGAAAAAGAAAAAAAAAAGGAGGAATTGTTAGATACCTGTTGGTATCAGCATTGGTGGCCGCACATTTACACGGTTTACCAGGCTTGGCCAGACCTGTGGGAAACCGGGGTAGGTCCCTCATGAACCTGTTACCATGCTGGCAGAAAGTAGCCAGGAGTCCCCATTCGCCTCCAGTCGGGGAGGGGCGCGGCTGGACCCCAAGGGTTGGCCGATGCTGAGCACCAAGATCACGGTATTTCTTTCTGCACCAAAGGCTCTGGGAGAGGGAGAAGTCATCCCGTGCTTCGGGGGGCCTATGAGTGCAGTCTTGCAAGCACTGGCCGGACTGCCTGGGGGTCTTCCGCTGGTGCGGAGCAGCGTCTTGGTGACTGCATGGTGGCTAGGTGGCCCCGGAGCTCAGCAAGTTTGCAGCTGGCGCCGCGCCCCCCAACCTGGAACAGACACTTGTGGAAAATCCTGGCACTGGGGCTTTCGCGGCAGAGCGGTAGCCCTTGGCCCAACCGATGGGGTCGCCCTCCCACGGTTAAGAGGTGGGGGCATGCAGAAAAACAGGAGCTTCCCTGGTCCCTTAGCCTGCTTTCCTTTCAGGCTCACAGCCTCCTCTGTGCAGGCGGCGAGTATTTCCCTTTCACCGCACCGACCCCGCAGTGAAGGCGCACCGGCTGCAGCAGCGCCTGCCTGCGTCTCCAGGGCGAAATCGCCAAGCGACCGGGAGGATGAGAGGGTGGCGGAGAAACTGGAGGGGGGCAGCCTGGAGCTCCAGACTCCTTCGTATCTGCTCGGAGAGCAGTTTGCAAAACGCGTTAGACAGAAGGTATCCCCATCAGCTACAGATGCCGCGAAAGGAGACGCGGCTCGCCGGCGGGTACCAGGCTAGTATCCCTCATCCACCAGGTGCGTAAGGTGTCCGGGGGCGCGTGGGAATTCCGAAAGGAAGCAATCCCTCCGGCTCTTCCCCGCCCGGAGGCGTACAGGGTTAGGGAATAGTACTTACTCAGGTTGCGGGCTCCGGGCTGCGGAAAAACCTCAAGCCTCCAGGTTCATAAATGGCCGGAGGAGCTGGGGGTCATCTCCTGAGGGCGGCAAGTGTCCACGAATGCCCGCTCTCCGGGTAGTCGTCTCCGAATCGCGTTCATGCCTCTCGGAGCTGCAGAGCCTGGTACGGAGACGCAAAGCGGGCGCGCTGGGCTCTGGGTGTCCGCAGCCCAAAAGTACAGCTGGCGTGTTGACGCTCTGGTTTATGCCCAAAGCGGCGGCGGCGGAGCTTCGAAGAGGCAGGGAGACTCGAAATCCATCCACTAATTCTGGGCCGAGCGCTCCGGCGTGCGAGCCCGCTTGCCTGCCAAATGTAACTGTGAAGTGATGTGGAAAAGTGAGCCGGGTGCCTCCCCTGACGGATCTCATTGGGCAGAGCTCCGAGGCAGGTCTACCACTTGGAAATTCATGTAAGCAGTCCCCCACCCCGCCCCCTCCCTGCCTTGCCCCTGCGCTCTCCCGCGCTCGGTCTCCACTCCCTTTCCTCCTACCAAGAGTGCGCACAACTTTTCGCTGGTCGCTCGCGAGCACGCCCCGCGCGCCTCCGCCGCGGGAGTCACCGGGTGAAGATGAGCCCTTCCACGCTCTGCGCGCAGCCCGCCGAGCGGCCAAGCTGTTGGATAAAGACTGCTGGCAGATGAAAAAAGGATGCACAGGAGGTACCCGCCAGCTTTCTCTCTCTAGGTCTCACCTGAGCCCTGAGGCTAGCGTTATCTTGAAAAGCGTCTCAGACACCCAAAGCTGGTTTCTGTGGAGGGTTAGGATGCGGCAGCGCGTGGGCCGTTCACATTTTCCCTCATTCTGAAGACGTCTTGCATAAGCAATTGCCCCTTTGCAAGACCCCTGCCTGCTACAACTCACGTGCTACTGGTTTCTTGGTGGTGGGTCGCGATCCTGGAGTGGAGCGCATTCCTGATGTCCTAGTGTTTCTCCTCCTTTGGGGAGGGCGGGAGGAGGGACAGTAGAGGCAGTCAAGAGGGACTTGCAGTTAAGTGAATGGGAAGAAAACGGGCAGAACTTACTGTAGCCAGAAGGGGAGGGTCTGGCAAGCCTTATCAATGTGCACTAAACTCCCTACCCGCCAGCCTGCGGTGGGGTGGGGCGGGGCGGTGGGGGGGCGAGTTGTCCTTATAGCTCCCCTCTCTACCAAGAGACACCCTATCCTTGGCTTCTCCAGTCCTCTGAGGAACTCCTCTCAGCATTCAGATGCTGAGGAACGGGCACCCAGGTATAAGTCAATGCAAGAAGGGGTCCGCGAATAGCAGACCCGGGTCTCGTCTCTTGTGATCACCGAGGCGAGGCTAACACGTGGACATACTATCCAGCAGCTCTGATCTCTGATCGTCGTTTATCACAGGGAAATACAAGACAAATTAAATGTCCCTTACCTTGCTTCAAAACTCTCATCCATAGGAGATCGGGGTTTGTTCCATTTCTGGCTCACTAGACTAGATGTGAGCTCTGGGGATGGATTTTGACCATCTGGGGACAGAGCTGCAGCAGAAGGGGTACAGAGGAGCAGACGCTCGGGCTGTAGATCCTGTACTGTCTGACTCGAATTAATGAGACGCAGTGAACAGAATGGGAAAATAGGCACAATATGCTTATAATACTTATGCAAATTTGCCTTTTCTGATGCTACATCTAACCTCCCACCGTAAAATATTGAGAATATTGACTATCTGTTTGATATCTATCTGATTCATATTCTAGTTAACCTAAGAAAGAAACTTGGTGACTTATTTGGGCAGGGGAACCCAGGGGGTGTTTTTCCCTCAAGCAGTCACTAAGTAACCATTTGTTCTCTTTAAGGCTGTGTCTGCTCATGAGGTATTCTGGAACTGGCTAATTCTGTCTTGGAAAAGAAGAGCAGTCAAACCTCAATCAAATTATAACTGCTGTTAGACCAGACAGTCCCAAGTGGACAAAGAAATAGATCACATCTTAGGTTGTGCTTAATTTTCAGACATTCATTTTCACTTTGAACAAATGGTCTGAACCTTTCCTGGGGGTACTTTCTTACATCTATGAGAAGTAAAGGAAAGGTCATATGTTCCTGAAGGCTGGGGATTGTCACAAGTAACAAAGTCATCTCAAAAGAAAAGATTGCTATAGAGAGGCTATCCTCTGATCTAATTTTCTTAAAAAGGAAAACTCTGCTGACAAATGGAGGAATTCAGAATCCAATGTCACCTGAGTTTGGTTGTAAGTTTGCTTTGACTCACTGCATCGTATTTACTCTCACAATATCAAAGTATGTTATCTTCACTGACTCTTGGTCTGCTGGAGTTTAAGGTGACCCTCTCCATGTCTCTAATCTCCACTTGAAACTCTGAAAGGAATTTCCTGACAGTGTCTTAAGGGAGGCCTGGGTGATTAAGAGGTGTGAAAGAGGATTAAGATAATGTTAAAAGCCCTATCAGGATATTTCTAAAATAATCAGGGATGCTGAAAGGCAGGGCATTTGTCTCTTTAATAATTCCACCCACACTTAATAGGATGCAGTGCAAAGTCTCAGGGGTGAGACTGTACCCCTCAAGAAAATGTTTTCTTTTCGGCATCCTCTAAGGAGTCATAGACTTCCAGCAGGAGAGGGTGGTACTCTACCAGCTTTTTCAAATGGGGACTGCAACGGCCTGTGCTGTGGAACTTCACTGAGTGGGACTAGTGAGGAAAGCTGGGACAGGACAGGAGCACAGTCTGAGACAGAAATGTGTCAGTGGAACAAAAAGTGCAATGAGGCAGGATGGCCCTTCCTGGCTCCAGAGGCAGCCAGATGTGAGGATGAGTTCATTGGGATGAAGGTTTCGTGAAGTAATTCTTTTGTTCACTCTGGACCGAACCTTTGCCATCATTTTGACTAATGGAAACAGTATTAAAAAAAAAAAAACCCAGCTGGTTAGTTAGAGGTGTAATCAAAGCCACCAGTTAACATGCTTATAAGAAAGGGAGAGATAGGAAGGTGTGACAGCTGTGACTCCAATTTCTCCATTTGCATCAGGGACTGGCAAGAGAGGGCATCTGTTATTGGCTGGAATAAGATGCAACCCTTCTCCTTTCCCCCTCTTCAGCACACATTTAAAAACTAAACTTAACTAAAATAATAAAAAAATGTATATTTAATATGGTGCAATGACTGATTTTTCTGTTTTTTTCCCTCCCATTTCAGTCTTAGATGAGCTGATGAACACATGGGATTTTGCCTTGCATGTACCAGTCTTAAAATTGTGGAATACAGATTCTGTGAATGACTGAATTTTACACTGCGATAACTGCCTATAATGTTATCACTTACAATAGAAATGTTTAGCATTTGTAATCTGAAGCAGCCCAAACAAATATAATGCGTAATACACAGAGTCTTCTCTGTACATTTTCTCAGAATGAGCACCCTGGAACTATGCCCCTCTGTGGGCCCGGGAGGGTAAAGAGTATGCAGTAACTATGACCTTAGGCACAAAAGAAGACCACTTTGGAGATGGTCTTGCAGCTCAGAAGACAGTGATCATCTACTGTGCGTAAAACTCTATGTTCAATCCCTAGCAGAGACAGAAAAGGGGGTTAAGAATCAAGAAAATAAAATTGAACTTCTTTTAAGAAGATTTGGTCATTTATAGTCAATTGTCTTTATGTGTCTAACTACTATGCAGATGCCTGCAGAAGCCAGAAGAGGGCATCAGACCTCCCGGAACTGTTACAGGAGGTTGTGAGCCACCTGAGTTGGTACTGGGATTAGAACTACAGTCCTCTGAAAGAGCAGTGTGTGCTTTTGATCATAGAACTATCAGTCCAGCCCCTCAATCTTCTTTTAAATTACAAAACTGAAGAAGTCTTAAGAACAAAAGAGCTTTTCAGGAAAGTTAATAAATATTTAATTAAACAGGATAGCTTTAAAAACTTATATGAGATTATTTGAAACCAATGACTTAATGAAATCATTAAGAGGTAGATATAAGATGGTGCCCAAACTAAGTAAACTGAATAATCTGAGCAATTATGGGTATTTCCTCAAGAGATAGCTGCTCAGCCTGCTCCTTTGAAGGCTTTCTGCCCCAGCATCTTCTGAATGTTTTTCAGAAATGGAAATGTGGGGCCCAGAATCTAGGTGCTGTTTAGAAATCTGGGTTTTAACAAATGTTCCAGGGAATCCCATTGCTTGCTAAATTTGAGAGCCACAGCCTTAGGCAATTTCTTTTTCATATGATAAATGTAAAATTTAGAAAGAAAAAAATGAGTGTTATAGAAATCCTTTTTTTTTGTACTAAAGTATTCTGGTTACAACAAAATATTATCAGAAGTAACAGAAATAAACAGAAAATTTGTAAGTACCCTAAATCTCCCTGTGATTACTTCAGATGTATTGATTATGGGATTTAATAACTAACTTTGTTTTAGAAGTGGTTACCAATTCTTAAAGTAAAATCTTCTTTAAGGCTGAAGTTCAGAACTACAGATGTTGAGCATTCTCCACTGGTTTTAGCTGTCCCTGAAATTAGGGCTGTATCTCTGAATATTGACTATAATTGCTAATCTCGAGCTTGCCATTATATTTTGTGTAAATGGAGGTATAAACACTTTCTGAAAAACCACATCTGTGCAGAGAGCATTTTGGAGAAGGTCTTCAGAATGGCATTATCTCCCATCTTCCCAGGTGCTAGAAAGGAGATAAGCCCCAATTCAGCTTCTGAACAGAAGTGAGGGAGGGAGGGAGGGGAAGGTAGATAGATTTAAAGGAACTGGACAAAGCTATCACATAAGCCAGCCCGGTCTTGTGGACTAAACACTGAGCATTTAAGTTTTAATCTTTCTTTCTTTTTTCTTTTATTACCTTACGTGGGAATAATAACTAAATTAAGATCCTGGACCCTTCTTGCTTACCTGGGAGCTAAAAAGATTTAAAAAAAAAAAGTTGAAGAAATATTTCACATTATTTTTAAACAAAATAGAAGAGAAACACTCCTCTTATATGCTACTTGTCAATTATAACATATTTTATTGAACATTAAAATATGTTTGATTTAATTAATCTAAGCATCTTTTAGGTAATTACCATTATTTAAATGCATGTGCTTACCTTTAACATATCATGATAGATACAAAGATGATTGCAGATAGGTGGAAGAGCAGGGACATTGTCCTCATGCATCAAATGAGGTTTCTGGTTCTGATTAGTTGCTATCAAGTCATTTATTAGAGAGAAAGGCACATGTGCATGCATTTGCGAAATGCTGAAAAGTTGAAAGGAAATGCCATTTCAGAGACTGTGTGCAGGATTTCTTTGTCAGTCAAAGCTGAATACTGCTGTCTAAGGATGTTTTTGCTCATTTATTACAGGTGCGGCCGTGTGGGAAACTGGCTACTGCTTGTCCGTTTCTCTTCTGCTTGCACAGGCACCGACCGGTCCTGTTAGATGAATATCGAAGCTTTTTTTTTTCCTTCTACTTCAAGTGCCCTCTAGCGAGCAATATCTGCGCAGGTTGCTATGTAGAAAGAAGCAGAAGGGAGGAAGAAAAAGCAATCCACCAATTGTCCTCATTCCTGAACTGATCCACTCTCCCTCTTTCTTTCCTCAGCAGGGTCATTTCCACACAAGTGTTTGGCAAAACAAAAAAGGTGTTGTTGCTTTTGCATGCAAAACAAATCACTCATTTACTAAACTGTGAAGCGAACGTTAATCCTTTCTCAGGGGTTTCTTTTGAGCATTCATCATGATTTTTCCCCAAGTTTCATGCACTGTGGTAATCAAGCAAATAAAAGAAGGTAAGTTGCTCCCCAGGAAGAAATTCTGTTTTGTTCCCACTTCCACCTCAGACCAGCTATAAGGTCTTTGATTCAAATTGATTAACCTCTCCATGGGATTGGAGTTTGCGTCTCCATAAAAGTGCATAACACTTCTTTCTTACCTCAGGGGGGTGGTATGAGGCTTAATTGAAGCTTATAAAACAATTTCAGTTCCTCAGACCCAATTTGATATACAGTTGGACTCACTTTTCATCTACTAACAGGGTTTCAAATTCTCCTCAGTAGTCTATAGGGGAATGTGAGCAAGATTCTGTATTTTCATAAACGTGGCGTTAAAACCATTGCCACTGTAAATAGTGAATTTGCTTAAGAGATTTGGAATGATAAGGCCTGCAAAAAGTACTCAGAAAAGAAAAATGTAGTGGTTCCTGCAAACATGTCTGCCTATAATAAATATAGCTAAAGAGTGAGAAAGGAATCTTACACAGCATACACTGGCCATATCTCCCTATGTTTTATGCAAACTAATAATAACAGAAGGTAACTTTATTCAGACAAACACTCCATTAAACAGTTACCCTGAGCACAGAAGAAATGCCAAGGCATTATTCAAATGACTGGATTCCAGTTACTCAACTTGGAGTTTCTTTTATTGATACTATTATGCAGCATTATGTTTGGTCAGTATCTTCTGACTCTAGTATTTTAAAGGGCCAATGTAGAGTGAAGCAAGCGACCATATAATATGCCCCATTGGATTGTTTACTCGCAGCATCTCTAATTATTGAAGCTCTGTGGATAGTAGTCATTATTTTCATCCTTCCATACTTCAATGTACCTCAAAGCTAAGGATCAGGAAGTTTAAGTGATTTCTTCCCAGATCCCACAATTAATAAGACTACAACTTATATTTAAAATGTCTGACAGTAAGGCTGAAAAGATGGCTCAGTGTTGAAGAATGTGCATTGATCTAACAGACCTGAGTTCGGTTCCAAACACTCACCTTGGGCCTATAACTCCAGCTCTGGTGGACCCACCGATCTAGTGTCTAAGGGCACCTGCACTCACATCCACATAATCATTCACACTCACACATGCATGTAACTAAAAATAAAAAAAAAATAAGTATAAACCAAGATGGATGCTGCCTGATGCTACTTCTCAATATTAAAATTGCACTAATGTGAGATTATAATAATCTACTTTTTGTGTGTGTGCCATACAGGAACTCAAATCTATCTTCTCCTTAAAGTTGGATATGCATTCTATCACAGAGGGATACTTTCAGCCCCTTATGAACTACTTTTAATTCAAGTTTTACCACGCTGTACAAAGGACTCATCATTTGAAATTAAACAGAAGCTAATGTTTACATTTGCAAACACTATCACAGTACTTAGTGGTAAATTGGTCTACAATATATACTCCCAGAATCTACAGGTACTAAGTTAAACCAAACCTTTCAAAGATAATTTATATCTCTTAAAAACAACTAGGCAAAGGGGGTTGGGGATTTAGGTAAGTAGTAGAGTGCTTGGCTAGCAAGCACAAGGCCCTGGGTTCAGTTCTCAGCTCCTGGGGGGCGGGGGGCGGGGACTAGGCAAAGTGATTCTGATTCAGCAAAATAAATATACACGTGGATGTTGTTTGGGAAAAATAGAATGAAAACATGTTCAAAGTCGTGTCTAATTGCTCAGTTTTGTTAATTAAGATTGTTACAGTTCTATTACTACAATTAACATTCGTATAGTACTTTATATCAGTCTAAACACACTGACTTTCCTATGTGATCCTTGCAACAATTGTGTGAGATGGGCAGGTCTGTTATTGCACAAGCTTCTCAGTAACAGGCTTTTAGAGACAGCAGAGTCCTTACAGCATGTCTTCATTTTATAGTAATGGAATTGGTATGTCCTATGACTTAGATGTCACAGAAAGGGACTGATGCTTGCAACAAAAAGGGTATTTGAGGCCCTTTAAAAGTGTTGTTTCATCTTTTGGAATAGCATGACTATCTCCTTAATTTTGACTAGCTAATTAACTGGTTTGATATCTTCTCTGGGCCTCACTTGTCTGTGTGTATAAGAATGTTTCACTCACAGGATGTTGAAAGAGTACTATCTAGTTATGGATGCATGTAGTCATCCTCTCTTATTTGACCCTGTAATATCCCCACTACTCGAGAAGAACAGGCAGCCAGAGAATAGATCATTTCCTACATCCGTACAGTGTATTCTGTCCTAATTGTATGATTTTTTTTGTCTCCTGGCCAGACAAGACATTCTGCCAGCTCTCCATCACCCTTTAAATGGTACCTCCCACTGTTCTGCAGCACATTCTGAGCTCCAGGCAAACCACCCTCCTTGCATCTTTTTCTAAATTGTCATTTTCTAAATAGTTTATACCTTGTTCATGCAACAATATTTCTTGGAGAAAAAATTAGTCTTTCTTGGGATTTACAAATGACTCGGTGGTTTACTATTTACCTCCCGGTGTGAATGAGGTTCTCGGTTCACTCCCAAGTTCTTCCACCACCAAAAAGGAAAAAGAAAGAAAGAAAAAAAGGCAGGCTTTTTTAAATTCTATCTGCCCTTCTCCTATCTAAATAATTATAAAACTAAAATCAACTAATGTTAGAAGCAAGTTATTTCAGTCTTGAAATCTGATAAAGAAACATGGTTTGATATTTCTTATTTAATGACCTAAAGGAGAAATAATGTGATTTGTCATAAGGCATACACGAGATAAAGGAAGATTTTATAGAAGGAGAAATCTGCCACCATCCAATGAAATGGCCTTCACTATAAGCTGTAAGTCAGGAAAGCACCAGAGCTTAGAAACAAGGAAAAAGATTGGCCATCCATATTCATGCCTGGGTACAGAACTTTTGGCAGGATGCTCTTGAACAGGTCAGAACTTAAGAGGTAAAGTGTTTCGCCAACCGTGGGTCAGCTTCATACCAGATGACTTCTGCTGAGGATGCTTTATTCATCTAATTCCCTGGAAGCCATAGGCTCTCAAGATCAAACTCTGAATAGCCTTGTAGATAGAAAGGCCTTAAGGGAAGAAATCTAGGTAGAATTCATCGATCAAAGCTGAGGAGGATGGTATGGCTTTTCCCAAATCTTGACTGAGGTTTTAATTTACAAAATGAGCAACTTTATTTTCTTTGACATTAATTATTTATCTACTTGAATATGCATTATTGTGTTGCTGATTAATATTGAGGGTCTCACTCCTAACACCTACATCAGAGTCACTCCTTGGAGTTGTCCTTAGGTTTGGCTCTACACGCTGAGACTAATGAAGATCAGTTGATTGAACAGACCCTGAACATAAAGAGATGACATTCTCCCTCTCAAATAAATAATACTCATGCTGTATTTCCAGATGCATCTCTCTTGTGGTTTGGAGCAAAATGTGCTGCATGTAGTCTATGTGCTGGAGGACTGGAAGCCAGTAGTATCATTGAGAGATTTAGCATCTTTAGGATGTGGCTTTGATGGGAGCAAAGAGGCAAATCCTTGTAGTCCTGGCCCTTCTTCATCTCTACTTCCCAGCCTCCAGAGGGCAGTATATCCTCCTCACTATTTTACTGCCTCACCACAGGCCAGAAGACAACAATGCAAACTTTCAGCTGAAATTTCTAAAACCAAGAGCCAAAAACAATCGTTTCTCCCTACAACCTGTCAAGTATATTCTCACCGTAACACAAAGTTAACTAACACAACCACAAATGTAATGTTGTTGTGTGACATTGACATGTGAAAAAAAATCTGCTTGAGGATTGCACAAATGGAAGATCCATCAAATTATTCCACCCTAGTATAGCTCAAAGAACCAAGAAGTTTACTGGGTTACTTGCAGAAGCATAAATAAGTGCTTACTTGCAACAGCATGGGTAACTCAAAGGTATCAGCATCAGTGAAAAACCTAGTGTATTGGTCAACTCATGAAAGCTGCACTATTGGGACTTCAGACATCATTTATAGGCAGCTCAGCTGTACAGTCTCTGTCTTTTTCTTCTCAGCAATTACGTACTGCTTTTATAACGTTGCTTTATTTTTTTTTTCAGTTTTAGGAGCCTCCCTCCCCACTCTAAAGGGGGTGGAAATGTTTCACATCACGGGTACTAGCTACACAATAGATGTGTGTTCTCAGTCTTTACTCATCTGCCCACTTCCATGCTCCTGTCACTATTTACTATCTAGTGTGAGGCTTCATATACTGTTCTGTTATGTATGCTTCTTTGTCTGCTGTCATTACTTGATTGATTCTGAACTCCTTGGATAGTATGACTAAGAATGGCTGGAAAGAAGCTGTTTCTAACTTCAATGATGTTAAGAGTTTTGAATGCTGCATGTCCAGATCTATGTTATCTTGGGGCATCTTAATCTCAATTAATATACATTCACTGGCCTCCTGCACATATGTTCATTTTTTGTGCCTATTAGATAATCTTAGACTTTGTGAACAGACCCCTAGTATTCGACAACCAAAGAGCTAAGTAAGAATGCTATAAGACAGCATCCAAGTCTTAGAGCCAAGTATTTCCTGCTTTGCTGTAATTTACCTGCCTAATATACACACCAACATGCTTGAAAACTGTATTATATTATAACTTTCTTTTTTCTATTACTATAAAAGTCTCATGAAACTGCTGCCTCAGTGAAACATGTTCACTCATATATGGCTCATTTTATCCCTTTGAGGTGAGAGCTGTTTCTTTCTTGGACAGCAAGGAGGAGTCTATTATTCATATCTGTGATTTCTAAACTTAGCTTAAAGCCCGATCTATAGTCCGTGTTTAGCGATCATATTATCTAAGATGATCAACAAGTGAATATGGCTGCAGAAGTAACTATGGCATTATTTTCAGCAGCTAACTAGACATAGACCCAGATTTGGACTTAGAAAATCAGATGGTCCAACAGATCAGTGTAGGGAGCTCAAGGAGATAACAGATTTCACTGGGAAGAGAGAGAGAAAAACATGGTTAAAACAAAGCAAACCCAGGAAACTCCATCTCCTTGGACAAAAATAAAACAGTCAAGAAAGCAGAACTAAAGGCTGGATAATCAAAATGATATAAAGCTATGTCTGACTGACACAATTAGTGTGAACATAGGAAGACAGGTTAGATCGCTGATGGTGATACATGATCATAATAAGTATCACTCATAGCAATCATAATTACAATGGCAATGAGTATTAATGAGTGTACCTCTGCCTCTTAGCAGCTCATAATTTAATACCTGAGTGTTTATAAAGCAATGTCCCTTTCAGGAAGCAAATGACCCCCCACCAGGCCAACTTTACTGTCCCCATTACTATTATACCCTCAGACATGCCGCTCCATGCCCAAAGACAAAGCTTTAAAATAGATTCCCACTATCCAGAGCTGAGATTTTCCTTTAAGAGCAGAAAATGTATTTTGTCTATTTGTCTCTGAATCCCCAGGAGCACAGAAGAAATGCTCAATAAATTTTTATTGATTTATTATCTTATATTTCCCCACAGTGAGCTGCAAGATAAATAGGTCTGTACCCCCATTTTTTAGGTGAGGAAACCAGAGACACCTGGTCAGAGTAGAAATTGGCTAACGAATTTCCAATATTTTAGCACCTTAGTTTCTGCTGTAGTGCTTGTCCCCTGCCCAGAGAGACCAAGACTGACAAGGTCGCATTGCTTATTAATTATTCTGTTTCTGTATGGAATTCTAAGAAACACATTACTTTCCTTCATATTCAGATGGAGAACCAAAGAAGTTTGCTGGCAAAGTGCCTACTTCTCTTGCTTTGCAGGGATCAAGGGCAAAGCTGCACACTTGGGAGTCAACCTTGAGCACCTAAAGCACTCTTTCTAATGATGACGTGGAGAATAGGAAAAGCATTATGCATCTGGATGTGAAAATCCGTGTGTATTCTAGGGGAGATGGAATCAGTGCATTTCTGATTAATTTGCACTTAAATCAATGAAGTGTTTAGCAAAAGATATTTGATGTTCAAGAAGCCTTTTAGAGGAGTCTGAAGGGATTTTATAGTTGCTTTTTTGTCTTAAGAAGGGAATTTTTCTTTTCCATGATCTTATACACAAATGACTTAATTTCAAAGTTTCATTTCCGAGAATAATCTTATTACTTTCAAAATCTTTCTACTTAGACATATTTAGAGGTAATTAATTTGTATTTTATCATTACGTCACTTGATTGTGTCATCATCTATCTATTATCTACCATCTACTTATCTATCATGTATCTGTCTAATCTATCCATCTATCATCATCATCTATATCTTTCTATGTATCATCTATTCATCCATCCATCTATCATCTTTCTATCTATCATCTATCTGCCTTAGATCTAAAACAACTTTGATACTCAAGAGCCTACAAGATCCCATATTCTGAGTAAACATGAATGACTTTGGCCTGGGAATATGAATTCTGCTGACCTTGAATGGTATATGCACTTTTACCGGCACAGAAAAATCATAAATTAGTGCATTTGTCAAATACATCAACAATGACAGCAAGTCAGCAGATTACAATAGAGCAGGTGTTATTGCCTGATTTGGGGAGTCTGTGCTTACTCCTAAGAGTTTTAGATTCTTCTACCTCCAAACAAAGAATTGAGCAGAGATACACAATGGCAGCAGAAGCAGAAACAGTTCAAGAGGCAATTCACTTCACACGGCAGGAAAGTAGCCAGAGGAGAGAGACAGGAAAGCTTAGTAGCCCCACTGCATACAGGATCACTGCTTTCAAGAAACTTTAGAGTGGTGACACAGCTTATTTGCATTGCAAGGGTTTATCTACTCATTTAAGGATTCTTCCTAGTATATGTATTCCTAAAAGCACATTCTTGTGGCACATGCATTAACTCAAAGATGTGTGGTCTTGTATTATAGTGAGCTACATGGTACTTCTGGACACTCTGGGTTTTAGATGGCCTCACTAGGGTGTTCAGTCAACTCTCTTTTCTAATATGCCAATTTGACAATGTTTTTATTATACTTTCTGGACTTCATTCTCCACCCATCCCATGCCTTACAGGGATCTTTATTCTATTACTTTCAAATGTTAGAACACTCTTGGCTATAGAGAGATAGAGTATATAATACATTTCAAAAGATTTGTCTAACAGTTAAAAGAATATAAGTTAAGATACAAAAGTTGGAAGTAAATAGTTATGAAGGGGACTAAAGTTAGTCCAAAATAATTTGACCTTCAATCTGCAGCATTTAATTAATTCACAGTCATGAAGTCATTCTATCAGTGTTCAGGAACTGTAAGGCACATGTCTTAAAGTTTCTTCAAGAACCTTAGTTTACTCCACCCATGTGTCATCTATATGCCTGCCTGCCTGTCTGTCTGTCTGTCTATCTGTTTATCTATCTATCTATCTATCTATCTATCTACCTACCTACCTACCTACCTATTTATCCATCTATATCTATTCCTTTTGCTAATGGAATTCACATAATGATAAGCAGATTTAAGAACTTTATCAAAATATTGGTTATTATTTCCTAAGAATATCAATAAACTCAGAGTTCAGGCAAAGCTTGAATTCTATAAGATATGCTTCCTGTGTGAAGAAGGAAGACACAAAGTAGAGCAATGGAGGCTTAAGTGGATGGAGACTTCTTCATGTTTGTAGTATAGATTAAATAGGAAGGTAAGTGTGCTGAGAGTAAATGATAATTTGAGTTAACTGAGAAATCCAATGCTAGTGTTTTGCATGACATCATTCTGTTTATCCCACACAAAGATTTGGAGATGCAGGTGTAATCACCTGCCTTTTGCAGAGCAAGAATGTGATATACAAGGATTTCCTCAAATCCTACATCTGTTCGGAAACTACTGTCTTTTCGATCTATGGTTTGTGTCTGACCCAAAGTTCTTAGAAGAGCCCAACATCTGGCGTAAGGCAAGTAGTATCCCTGGTGCTATGATTTCTGGTGTGGCACAGATCCTAGCTCCATGAAATAAGTAGGTGATAAATTACTCTCTTTCAATTATCTTTCTAATTTTTGTCAAGAGAGAACATTTCTATTCCTGCCTGTGCTGATGCCAGTAACAAGCAGAATGCTGCTGACTTGTCATCAGAGCCTTAAGCAGACTCCAAGTGTCTTGTTTAAATCTAAGAACAATGTTTTGCATTCATTCAGTTTATTTCCAAGTTTACCTTGTAGTGTGGTAAGTAAAAATAACATTCCTTTTTCTAGGTATGGATATAAGGTTTCCTTTTAAACAAATGTTTATTTTGCATTTTGAAGAAGGGAGTTGATTAAAATATTATATCACACAGATGGTGCACAGACAAAAAGAAAAGCAATGTGACTATATGCGTGACTACAGCTTGCAGAACAAAAACACTATATTAAATCAACATCCTTTCAAAGAGCCATCACCAAGTAAATTGTCTTTTTTAATTTGGGAAGTGTATTTTAATTTCGGAAGTATACACATATAAAGCATTATTTCTGGATTTTAAATTTTTATTCAATTTCAAATGTTCCAGATATCTCTACTTTGATTTCTTATAAAGTATTAACAGCAATAATCATTATCTTCAGTTAATATCCTAGATATAGACTTAAGGAAACACGACTGCCTTTCTCTTTTCAGAGACAGAAGTAAATAAAGGAAGTAAATCTTCCCAGCGTACAACTTTTGGGCAGGGTATGTGGAAACAAGCAAAAATAAACTTCCATTTTTTTCTGCCTATTTTATTTGGTTTATCACCCAGTTTCATTTGGGGAGACATTGTGGTCCTCTTCAGTGGAAGTTTATTTTTATATGTTTTTCCTTGCCATTGCAAAGGGAAGTCGACATATTGCTCATACAGTGTTAAAGTCTTTATGAACTGCTGATGGATATCCAGGAAATGCTCTGAGGAGTAGGAGGTGATATTGTGGAAAATATCCACTTCCTCTAAATATTACCTCCAGTTGCTTTGTAGCAAATATTGCTGAGGAAAGAGACTATAAATCACTGAAGTCCTGAGGGCTTAGTGGTGAAGGACCGTTTATGTTTTCCTTTGGTTTGAATTACTGACCAAGACTATTGAATGAGGAAAAGAAACATTTTACAAAGAAAAGTGAAGAGAGGAGATGAGGAGAAAGAAGAAGAGGGGGAGGGAGAGAAGATGTGTGAAAAGAGAGATAGAGAAGAAGCAGATGGAAATGCTAAGCATCCTGTGCTGTGAAAGAGTCTGGTCCTTTTTGTTGTTTTGTTTTGAGATGAGGTCCCAACACATCTACCAGGATTGTGATTACCAGGTGGATTCCACAAGGCCTGGTTTGCCTATTTTTTTTTTCTGTAATTCATGTCTTGCAGTGGTGTATGCAGACCGTTTAGGTAAGGATACTCATAATTAGATACAAGCCAACACCATTTCTAAAGTTCCGATCAAGGCCAAGCATGCAATTGCACAGTTTTGGAAAGCATTTGGGGAACATATATGTTGTATACAGAAAATCTGGAACATATTCTGTGTCCTACCCTTTAGTAGATACAGGATCTTTAAAAATGACTATAGCTGTAGTTACCTTATTGTTTTGTTTCTTGAAAACCTGTAGCAGGCCCCTTCCCACTCTTTATTTCTACCTGCCCTGGTAAATTTGTTCATATTGCCTGAATCAGTCAAGATGGAAATACAAATTTATTACTGTTGCCTTTTGTCAATATCATTTTGACTATACAACACTCCCCCCGCCCCGCCCATTTTCATTTCTACTACCTCTCAGTAAAAGCAGGAAAATATGGTTTCCCCTTCATGAACCTTTATCTCACCTCTCTCATTAGATCAGAGTAAAATTCTAATAACATGAACTGTATGTGAGGAAATGCTGCTAATTATAGACACATACAGCATTAAGCTTATTTATATTAATGAATAAATCAAAAGACAAGAAAAATCATCCTTCTATTTTTATTGTTTTCTGAAATTTTAAGTCCGATCGTTGTCATTCTGTGTATGATATGAGAAATAGAAATGGTGGGTGCAATTTGCATGTGTGAGGTTAGGATCTCTTGTAGCAGGCAACCTTGTCTAGCTTGTCATTACCTTTGAACACTCACTGTAAGTGTATCTCATTAAGTGCTAAGGCATTATGTTGAGTCCGTAGCCATGACAGTGTTGAGTTTGATTAATCCGTGAGAAATCAGTGTCTTATTAACGTATAAACAAGTGCATATACAAATACATCTGCAAGACGACCCAGTTTTCATCCACATGCATTAAACCTCATGTTGTTTCCTACTTAGGACCAGGTGCAGATAATTAAAAGATGAATGAGATAAGATGCCCTCAAAATCTCAGTCAAGTAGCAGAGACAGACAATGTGAAGACATAATTTGGGTATAAGGACAGCTCTCAAGTGCTGCAGCAGAAAGGGATGATGAAAACGCAAAGGCTTAGGCATCTGAGGACATCCTTGGAGATATCACTTCACTTCTCTGAATATCTTTTTGACTGTCTAACCTTGGGAGCCTCTTAGCTACTCTGGGAAGTAGCTGGGTGTGACTGAAGTGAGGATACACAGCAGGATCCAAGAAGAGTAGCAGACTATGTGCCATGATAGCTGAAAAGGCAAGCCCAGAAGAGCCTTATCATTAAGGCTGAAAACCTTGGGCATCCTTCTGTTAATCCTTTACAATGCTGAGAACTATATAACAAGTGTATCTATTACAGCTTCATGACAGCTGTACTCAAACAGAGTGCTAGAATTTGGGTGAAATTTTGCCAGAATATGGAGCAATAGGAGGAAGAAATACCAGTTACAAAGTAATTGCAAACTTAAAAGTAAAACAAACAAAAAAAAAATGCAAGAACGCTGTTCTTGGTGATTTAACTCCACTCCAACTGCTCAACTGCTCAGGAACCTCCAAGGTATAAACACTCTCAAGGTCTGTGTTTGCAAATGAGAAGTGTGAGGTAGGGAGAGCTTAAATATCTTGTCCAGCATCACATCACTAGCCATAGTATTATATTGTGACACCTCAGGAAAGAGAATTGAGGGCTGAAACCAGGCTGACTCTTATGATAGCATACTTTTCTTTCTTGTTTTTAAATTTAAAAGTGTTTTTTTTTTCATTTTACATAACAACCACAGTTCCCTCTCCCTTCCCTCCTCTCCCTTTTTTCTACCTTCCACCACCCCAACCCCCAGCCACTCCTCAGAGAGGATAAGGCCTCCCATGGGGATTCAATAAAGTCTGGCATATCAAGTTGAGGCAGGACCAAGCCCCTCCTCGATGCATCAAGGCTGAGCAAAGGGGAGTGGACTCCAAAAAGCCAGTTCACGCACTAGGGATAAATTATCATCCCACTGCCAGGGGCCGCACAAACAGACCAAGCCACACAACTGTCACCCACATTCAGAGGGCCTAGTTCGATCCCATGCAGGCTCCCTAGCTGTCAGTCCAGAGTCCATGAGCTCCCACTAGCTCAGGTCAGCTGTCTCTGTGGGTTTCTCCACCATGATCTTGACCTTCCCCCCACCTTGCTCATATCAATCACCATAGATGGAGAAAACAAGATATTACATGATAGAATACTTTTCATTTGACTTGTTTTTTCCTTGGTGTTACTCTTTCATTGCCAGTAGATCCAAAACACAGCTTGAATTCCTTGAATCATTATTGTCTTGATTTTATATTAAGAGTGCTTGCTTCAGTGTTCAGCAAATAGCTCAAATGTGTATTCTAATATACCACAATGTGGAGTAAGAAGCATCAGTAAATTCTGTGCCCAAGTGCTAGTGTGCAGTCCCACTGTGGCATGTGAGCACAGTTGTTGTTAGACAGGCACATGGTAGTATCAGTTGCTCTTCTCTTCCCCTGTTTAATGGTTTCATTTCTTTGGCGAGACTACTTTCTTCAACGCTCCTTGCAGTTTTTGCAAATGGTCATCTTGTTTGACCTCTAAAACCTGCTTCTACAGCTTCCTCTGCTCTTGTAAGACATCTTTGCTCTTCTTTCTCCACAGTGTCTTCACATGGACTACTGTTCTTACAGCATAAGCTCTTACCTTCTGGACACCTGGCATTTGTCCTATCACCCCTACTAATGTGTCTAGTAATGTGGGTACCATATCGTTTTTTAAGTAAGTATATACTGCATACCAGGCAATAGGTAGTAGGGACAAATGCATTATCTTGGATGATTGTTGACATTTGGGAAATAAAGACTGGCTCTGTCTGACTTGTGCAAATGGAACATGTATCAGCTTAAGTCAGACACGTTTTTTCAAGCAGACTTTCACATTGGGTAGTGATTAACAAATATGTTAATGAGTACTTTCTCATTGTATATTTTCCTTAGTATTACATCTAACATATTTTCAAATTTGCCCTCAAATTCACTCAGCTAACCAATTTGCCACACCAACTGTGTGAAACATCCTTGCGTTTTCTTTGACTCTGGTGCCTTTGGCTCATTAGGTCCTTTGAATTATTTGAATGTAGCAATTAACACAGATTCATCTGCAGTGTTGTAACCATGGCAGACAAGTCTAATTGATTATGGTCCAACATATTTTTAAGATGAATCTCAAGGAAGCTCTTAAAACAACCACTAAAAAATCACGCAGAGTTATACAATTAGATTAAGTTACTTTTGTCAAATAAGCTTGCATGCTTTCCTCAGCTTGAAGTGACCTACTTCTGGTTCAGCTTTTGGAATCCAACCAGTTCATGTCCTTGTGAAACTGCCTTGATTTCCTCACCTCTAGGGGAATTAACCCTTATGACCACTTAACACATAGAGATCTTCATTTGCTCCTTGATCTGGCTTCCTAATTGTTGTACTCCCAGCAACCAGTCTGCCCAACATCATCTGTCTTTCCCACTGGTGGTAGAAGTGTTCTTCCAATTGCTATGGCAGGCAATTAAGTGTAACACTTCCTTGGAATTCGAACAAGCTGAGATAACTAAGATAACTGATTGATGAGTGGGAATGAAACAGATTCAAACAGAGACTGATCCAGTTTAGTATACACCAATAAAATGGAATCTGAGGGAAGGGTAGATTGACAGGGCCATTATGTAAGTTAATTTGTGCTGAGACACCTGCCTCATTCTTGGTGTTCCCTGGTTTTCAATCTGCATGAGAACCTTGTCCTGCAGACAGACAGACAGCTTCAGGGCGGATTAAATGATCAACCAAGTGAGAAGAGCATCTTCTAGTATGTCTGCAAAAATACTTCAATTTCAAAACTGATTATTAAAAGCCACAAGGAAGGCAGAGATAACAGCGTTGAAACATTGACTTACTGATCAAAAGAGACACTAATATGTGCTCCTTAAGGGGAGCTGTTAGAATTTAACATGCGTACAAGCAAATCCCTCTTGCTCCCTTCTCCCTCTGCATTGTCACAAAAATCCAGTCTTTGGTGCCTCCCTGCTGCTTCTCAGCTCTTTCGAAAACACTTTGTGTCTTTAGGTTGACTTCTGCATTTCTTTCCTTCCTTTGTTCCTTCTTTCCTTACTTTTCTCCTTTCCCATCTATTTTGATAACAACTATTTTTTTTCTGGGGTTCTGTATCTTTTTGCATCAGTTGTGTGATCCCTTTCTTCTTCACTTCATTTTTGTTATTGTATTCAAAAAGGTTTTCTTTTTGACAGGTGGTGTGGCCACAGAACGAGGACATAGGAAATGTCATCAGATAATGTTCCAGTGAGACTTGGGGGCTCTAATCCTCATTTTCTAGGTATGCTATTTTTACCTTTCAAATCTAAATTGCCACAGCTGTAAAATAACATTTGTACAGTGAAACTGTCACACAGGAAAACTCTTGAATGGTAACTGTGATCATATTCATCAATATTGCATATGGAAATTGAGCCACTGACATTGGGATGTCTATATCAGCTCAATGCAAATTGAATCTTTCACTGTAATCCCTGAGGTTTTAAACTCATTTCATGAGTTTCGGTCCTTTTTTTCTGAGATGCTTGGTTCTTTTCATCTAGAATGACTGTCTTCTGCAACATTCAAACGGTCATTTCTAGGTGGCAGGTAGGAAGGCACTGGGTTTGTAAGCACCCCTAATTAAAATGCATGATGCTGCAAATGTGAAAGCGACAGAGAGCCTTAAACACTTTGCCTAAAGGTAGCTGACAGCCATTGACTGAACACATATTTTTTGTTGTTATTTTTGTTCAGGACAAAAATGATTTGTTTTTGAACAATATATACACAGAACAAACTCTCCCAACTTATTATTTTTTTCTGAAGGAAAATTTGCAGCAGACTCAGGATTCAAGAAGCAATCACATCTAGAGAACTCACCTTTCCTCATACTTTCTCTGACTTACTTCATTATATACCACTTTGAAACCAATTATTGAGTCACATAAAATGGAGAGATCTGTTTTTAAATAGTTTCCAACATTGGATGTTAGTAATCATTACACTGGACAGTCACTGACATAAAATCAGATCTGTGGTATTCAAACTTCTTAGGATGACATTGGGAAATGCCAACTAAAAAAACATTTTGGCGTATAGCTCCCTTGTTTTATGGTCTCTACTAAGTGAAGAACTACCATAGCTTGGAGACAAAATCAAATAAAATCCAGAGCTCCTGACCCCTTAATGAGAGATCATTCACTATACATGGGTCCTCAAACCATACTTTTTAAATAATTGACCATCTAAAGAAAAAGAAATTTCCTGCTACTTCAGTTGAGAGATATGTGCACTTGATCATGTACGTTGAATATGAAGACAGTTTTTAACCTCTACATGGACACCTGATACTTCATACATAATATCTAAGTAACTAAGATAATTACACATATTTTATGGTCTATTATTTAGACTATTCAGTTGATTAGTTAGCTAAGAATAAAGAGAGAGAGATGTGCAGGAGATATTGTCTGCAGAAATAAATCAAGGACTGCTTGGGATAATATTATAAACCTGGTTTTCTTTGGCTGCGATGTATGATGAAGTCTTGTTTTCTAATAGTACAGTCACAAATCACCTCTATCTACAGGGGATTAGCCAGGTCTTTCCAATATTTTCTAGGTTTTTATTTCACATATTCATCATCCTCCTCAGCACACTTAAAATTTACACTGTCATTCTCTAAGACAACAATAATCTAAAACTATTCTACATTTGATCACCCAATTCTCACAAGACCACTATGAAGTAAGTTCAGTTATTCTTTCTCTTTTTTATATGGATAAGGAAACTCAAGGTCAGAGATTTTTTGCATTTTTACCTTACGCCATGCAATTTAGCCAAACCTTATTAATGCAGATTCACAGGCAGTCTGACTGTAACTTTCAACCCCAATCAGGTCCTACCCAGCATGAAATCCACTCTCCCTCCCTCCCTCTCCATTCCCCTACCTCCCCGAGGGAGTGTGTGTGTGTGTGTGTGTGTGTGTGTGTGTGTGTGTGTGCGCGCGCGCGCGCGTGTAGTGTAGGTGGTGAGGCTTGCTATCCCAGTATCTAGTCTTTGTTTTCCTGACTCCTTGACACTCTAAAGTTATATAGCTTACAAGGGTGCCATTTTTCCCTGACATATAGTTTTTAATGTTTACTATCACACTCTTCAAGACATGTGTATAAGCAAGAAGCAAAGAAGCCCATCAAGTTCCTTTCCCTCCAGGTAGGTATGTGTACTGTATGTATGCACATGCAGTACTTCCATACACCAGAAGAGGCTGCCAGATCCCCTGCAACTAGAGTTACATACAGCTGTGAACAGATATGTAGCGCTAGGAATCCAACCTAGACTCCATACAAGAGGATCAAGTGCTATTAATGCTGAGCCATCTCTCCAGCATCCCTCCAAGTGGTTTGTTTTATTTTATCTGAGTCAAATACTAGATCATTCACATTGTTCTGGTAGTTTCTATTTTTAATCATGTTTAAATGTTTAGGTTCCTTGGGGTGAAATTTGTACACAGATGAATAAACAACCAATTTGTGTTATTGATAGCACAAATGAGAATAAGAAGAGAAATCTAAAAATTATACAGTTTAGGAAAGAAGATAGTAGTTTGGGGTAAACTTGGGTGGTGAGAAATTACATTTGGTTTGTTCCCATGATAACACAGAGTTTGCCAAACAATGAAAAAGCTAAAAAGCACTTAGGAAAGCTTTTAAACAGAATGACAACGCATGCGTATAATTGTCTCAGATAAAGTAGATTGTAGAATGGTGTGCTATTCCAGAATATTTGTTTAACTATGCAAAGATGTATTGCATTTGTTTAACTATGTAAAGAAATGTTGCATTTGTTTATGTTGTGGAATATTTATTTAGCTATGTAAAAATGTGATGCATTTGTTTAACTATTTATAGATATGTTGCTGTTTTACCTTGCCTGCCTATGGCACCTCATGGGTCTAATAAAAAGCTGGACAGCGCCGGGCGGTGGTGGCACACGCCTTTAATCTCAGCACTCGGGAGGCAGAGGCAGGCGGATCTCTGTGAGTTCGAGGCCAGCCTGGTCTACAGAACGAGATCCAGGAAAGGCGCAAAGCTACACAGAGAAACCCTGTCTCAAAAAAAAAAAAAAAAAAAAAAAAAAAAAAAAAAAAAAAAAAAAAAAAAAAGCTGGGCAGCTAATAGCAAGGGAGAAGGTATAGGTTGGAGTTCTGGGCAGGGAAAAGAAGTAGGAGGAGGAATTTAGGCTTAAAGGAAGAAGAAGAAAAAAAGAAGAGATGCCAGGGAGACACCAGGGGCCAGCCAGTCAGACACAAAGGAAGCAGGTAAGTAAGACATACAGAATGAAAGAAAGATTTAAAAGCCCTGAGGCAAAACCATAGGTGAATAGAAAAAGGTTAAATTAAGTTAAGAGAGCTAGTGGGACAAGTCTAAGCTAATATTGTACATTCATAACTAATAATAAGTTTCTTTGGTTTTATTTGGGAGCTGACTGGAGGCCCAAAGAAAATTTCAATTACAGTGTGCTGTGTCTGTGGCTATGTTATCTGTTCCCCGGGACTCAGTTTCCCTATATATGAACTAATGACATGATTTTGGACAGTATCAGTAGTTCAATTCTATCTCCTTAACTTACTTTGTTGTTAATATCAGAAGTTAATTTTTAGACAAGAAGAATTAAAATACCACATCTCAGAAGAACTGGAGAGGCCACACTTGCCGGCATCTGATTAGGGAAGCTAGTGAATCAGTTGACAAAAATCCATCCATAATGAAGATTTCTCTGCTGTATTCACTCTGTGACTGTGTTCAATGTAGGGTACCCAGATTTCACTGTGCTTCTTTCATGGTACACTATCATTTTTATCAATGTTTTTGATAAAATGGCAAAGGTGTTTGCATGTGTGCAAGAATATATGACTGAGGAGGCTCTACAATCTCTGCATTGCACATTCCCTGCCAGGTAGTGAATGGAATCCATACTTCATTTCTCCTAATGAGTAACATTGACAGTCACCCAACCAGGAGTATAATGACTCCCTCTATCTCAGTAAACACCAACCTAATCTCTCAGTAAGTTCAGCTGATTTTATATATATATATATATGTGTGTGTGTGTGTGTGTGTGTGTGTGTGTGTGTATTGCACACATACATACTTATGTGATATATATCATATATATGTATATGTATGTATTATTTGTGTGTGTCTGCACTGATATTGTCCTACTCCAAATGTGTAAGATCTCTTGCCTATGCTATTACACGAGTTTCTTTACTAGTCTAGATGAATCTGTCTTCTCAGATATCCTGCTTATAAATTCAGCTTCTAGAGGAACAAATCTTCTCGTGGACCTGTATCAGTGTTCCTCTCTTCCATCGTCCTCGGTGTTGACAACTCTTGACAGAGCTCTACTGAGGCTGTGCTTTCCTTTTGTGTACAGAGCAGCACTGGCCTCACACTCTACCACAGCCTACATGTCTGGACTAGCTCTTTTTCTTCTGCACCCTCCCTTCTGCTTCTTCTCTGTGGTGGGCATACTGACTGGCATTTTCTCTGTTCAGTCTTATAGTCAAAGAATGTACGCCCCTTGCTTACATTCTCCTTCTTTCTGACTGGCTTTGATCCTTTCATTCAGCATTAATTTTACTGCTAACAGGAATTAAAGATTCTCCATTTCTTATCTTTATTACTCAGTTTTAAAGTGACATTTTGCCAGAATGAATGAATGTTGGCCTCCATGGATCTTTTTTTTTTTAAATTTTAACAGAAGCCATCTCTTAAATATCTGTTTTTATAATTTACCTTTACCTTTGTATAATCTAAAAAATCTCAAATTGTACTTTATTACCATCAAAATGGGTTATGAGTCCAAATACTGAGGTAATACCGTTTGTGGTTCCATCTTTCCTGAATTTCTCTCTTAGCTATTGCCTTTCCACAGTAAAGAACATCGTGTACCTTTATTTCTTTCACAAAGTTGGCTGGTCATGAAATGTCTGGGCCATATACTCACTGTATTGTTCATCTGGTGCCTGAACCTCAGGTGTCAGTGAGAAAACATATCTAGGTAGCTTTGTTGAACCTAATCTCAGTTACCTAAATTTTATATACAAAGACACACACACACACACACACACACACACACACACACACACACACACACACATACACAGAGTAATAATTCATAAAACAAGAAGCCATGAGTTTGAATTGGAAGGTATATGGAAGGGATTGGAGGGAGGAGAGAGAAGGATAAAATAATGTAATTTAATAATAATCTCAAAAATAAATGAATTTTAAA